TGCATGATGAGAGCTTTAACACATGTATGTTTTATATATCGCCAAGAATTCTGAGAAAAACTTAAACTTTGCATGGTCACGTGATAAACAAAACGTTTTGCAAAAAATTAAATAAAGTGTGTTCAAAATCTTATAGTTTTAAAGAGTAATGATAAAAGGGTAAATTTTACACCGTGAAAAGATGAAAAAACGTATCATTACTGTTTCATTAGAAACACTAGCTCACACTAGTTTTTAGCTAGCTATCTCTTCATAGCTCTAAAGATAGCAAACTGAAAAATTCAAAACATTTTTTGTTTAATTCGTAAGATTTAATTARATACGCAAATAATTAATGACTTTTATTTGCATATCTAATCATTATCTCCCATTTTGAGATCCGAGCATAAAATCTAAAGACTCGCATGTTTTAATATTATCTTTTGTCTTAGGTATTACTCAAAACCAAAAATCTAGAAAGAAGACTCTTTTTTCAGATCTCAGTTATGTCTGCCATCTTGGTAGGCACTAAGTGCCTCTCAAGATGGCCGCCACGACTAAAGTTTGAAAAATTTATATAGATCTCAATTTTTCTGTTTTGGATACTAACTAGAGCGAAAGAAAATAACAAACTATAAAGTTATTCAGATACTTTTTATGTTTTCTCAAATATTTAAGATAATTCTAAGGAAATGTTCGTGGTACAGCAATGAAAATTTCATAGTACAAAGTGGTACAATGTTTGGCCCAATTTATAATACTTACAGTTGCCCATAGCCATTACTTTCCTTTCTTTCGGACAAACACTCAACCGACTTCTGCAAACATCGGATGTGGAGTCTTTGTACTGGTCGTGTTCCAAGTAACCGCAARACTGGAAAATTTGCGAAAAAAATTAAAATTGATATTTCACGGACAAGTAAATATACTTTTTTTCAATAAAGTTAGTCACCTTTCAATTTTTTTGATTTAGATACTTACTAGATCGAAAGAAAATAACAAAATATAAAGCAATTCAGCCACTTTGCGTATTGTCTCAAATATTCAAGATAATTCTAAGAAAATGTTCGTGGTAGAGCAATGAAAATTTCATAGCACAAAGCGGTACAATG